TTCTAGGTTTAATTCTAGGCCTACACTTGTCAACCATCCAAGCCAACAAGTGATCCAATCCTAGGCCAATAAGTGGATGAATCTCCACCCTCCATGTGTCAATAGACTATGGTTCCAAGTCTCTCCACCCAAATGCCTACAAGTGGCATCATAGGAAAGTGACACTTGTTACATTTTTGGAAAATTGCAAAAAGGTCTTTTTTGAAAATATCTTCCAAATTAAATTGCGAAATGGTCCCTAAGACGAAAAATATTTACTTTATTTAATTACACAAAAACCCCTCAAGTTTAAAGTAATTACCAAAAGTAATGCATTTTTGCCCTTTACAAGAAAAGTAAACATTTTACATGTTTTTTTGCAAAAGTAAAAATGTAGATACTTTGAAAATTAAATATCATGGATGTGTGCAACGCAGGAATCAAATCCGAGCACCAAAAATGACGTTATGCAAGTAAAAGTGAAAAACGAGAAAAGAACGAAATAAGGAAAAGATAAAAAAAGAAAATTTTCGAAAAAATGAAAGGAAGTAAAATGACCGGGTTGTTACAACGGGGACCAACCTGCTGGTAATACCACCCCTAGTGCGCACTATCTTGACGGGAAGAACTCATACCTCCCGTACTAGAGTCAAACTCTAACCATGTTATAGTAACCATGTCCCAAGTGACTCCAAAATAAATAAGTTAACAACTTAGATACAAAATATATATATATAGCACGAAACTACATTCTATGCACAAGTAGGTTGAAACCACACAATACATGCTCTAAATCCACAATTACTATAGGATGACAATTTCGAATCTTCAGAGCGCGATTCGTTACGCGCTATAATAACATCATATGTCGAATCTTCAGTGTGCGATTCGTTACCCACTATAACAATATAATTCAATATTGAAACATAATCGCATAAATCCATTACAAGTCTAAAATCATGCTTCAAACATAATATCAATGTTAAACACATGATTTAATCGATAATGCAATAGAAACGGAAATTAATTATATAACCTAATTAATTTATCTAAATTTCATATCTCAATTAAATAAACCTTAATTAACACATGTTAAACAACATAACTTATTCATTACATGAATCAAATTAAAAGATTACTTAGGTCATTGGATCAATATGATAGAATTTAATTAAAACATGATAATTAAATCCCTAAATTCTAAAACAACATCAAATGGTCCCAAATTAACATATGCTAGTGAATAAGCCCTAGTCATCACAAATATCAAGTTAAAAACTTAATTAGGCCAATGGAACCATTAAATGAATTTTAATTAATCATTTTAATTAAAATCTCTAAATTTTTATACTTATCCAAATGCTCTCAAATTAGAATATGTTAAGGAACATGCTAAGACTTAATTTAAAAGCAAATTACAAGTTCATTTCATATAAGGTATGACCATGGGAATTAATCATTCACAAAAGAAAAATATTAAATAAAAAGTGCATTTTTTATTCAATTAATTTCAATTTAATATATGTTAACAAATATATTAAATCCAAACTTTCTAGCATTCCACAATTTAATTCTAAGTTATAAATCATCATGAGAATTAAATTCTAACCATAGAAATTAATTAAATTAAATTGTAGGACTTAAACAAAAGCATGCATACAAGTTGTATAATCATGGAAAACACTCTATACAACACATATAAAATCTTAAAATATCCATTACCTCAATTTGAGATGAAAATCTCAAAAGTTCATCGAAAAAAAAGTGCTCCGGTACCGAAGGGTTTTGTCGGGGACAACACGATCTACATGAACTCCCAAGAAGCCCCATCAAAATCACAACTTGACTTTAAACCCAAACTCGAAATTTAGTCAGAAATGGGTTCTAATAAGGGTGAAAGATGCGTATTGCCAAGACGAGCAATAAACACAAAGGCCTTACTGTGTTTTGACAAATGAATGAAGTTCAAAAGATGAAAGAAAAGGTGGCAGCCTCCCTTGGGCTGCCATGGGAGCTACTGGTCGTGCAAGGAGAGTGGGGAAGATGAAAAATGAAATATTTCATCCCCCTTTTATAGAAATCTCAAAAACTGCCCCAAACGGGCCCCGCCGAGTCCGAAAAAGTGAAATTTAAGTAGACGCGCTCAAATGGCAAAACTCTGTGAACTAAAAAGATTCAAAATGAGAAAAGATTAATAGAAGAAACGGCGTCAAAAACCGAGTCCCGAGCAGAAAGTTATGCCCCAAACAAGTTCGGCGGCAACTAGGACCAGAAACCTTGAAACTGGAAAACAACGATCAGGAGGAAATTCTATGAGTACACGACTCGACAAAAAGTGAAAATGAATCCCGTACGAGGACCCAGGCTCAAAACAAGGCATTTAGTAATAACTTTCATTAATTGCACAATGTCCCTCCAAAAAGTGAAAACTGCACTAATGGCTCAGAATGAAAATATCTTTCAAAAATATTTTCTTAAAAACCCCTGAAATAAAATATCTTCAAAAGATATTTACGAAAAACACCCCAAGAAAAGAAAAAGATTCTGAAAAACTATGCATCCATGCTCCTATGGACACCGGGAGCAACCAAAGTACTTTCTTACAAAAGTAAAGATACGTATTTCGTGGAAACCACTTAGAATGAAGATACATGAAGTCAAAAATCAACTCCGAACGCAAGAAGTGTGGTTTTGTAAATAAAGTGGCAAACGGGGAAAAGACAAAATAGGGAAAATGACGAAATAGGGAAAAGGACGAAAAGTGAATAGTGTCGAAAAACGAAAAATGTGGAAATAACTCGGTCCTCAAAGGAAGTTGTCAATTCAAAGAAAAGAGTCTCGGAAATCACTCTAGAGCACTCGAGACGACTCTAAGCAACGAGGAACTAAACTCAGAAAGGAAAAGATCAACGGAAAAAAAATATCCGTGAAAATCTGAGAAAAGGGAAAGGAATGAAAATGACCGGGTCATTACAATGTGATTAGTCTTGGTGGCTTCCTCCATCAAGACATGGGGGGTGCTGACTTCCTTCTCTAAGATGGACTCAGGATCGCAACATCATTGTTATTCTAGGAAACTAGTATCGTTTCCTACAGATGGCACCAACTGATGATGTAGGATTCCGCGACGAGCCAAAGCGACGTCATACCTGAAAAAGGAAGGAAAAGATGATTGAGTACCGGAGTGGTATCGGCCTAAGAGCCTCCGACGATCAAGTTAGTGCTAGATCAGGAGGGTGGAAAGAAAGTTAAAAAGCTCTCTTAGGGATTTGTGTCGTACCTTTTATGCTAACCCGAAAGCCCTCTTTATAGGGGTGACAAGTTATATAGAAAGAGGAGTATTATTTCTCATACTTTTCCAACACGGAAGAGAGAACGTATTCTTATCCTTATCAAAGATAGTGGAGTTTATCTTGATTTACAGTCTTGTGTGAAGGTCAAACTTCCTGGGTGAAGACTCCTCATCAATTAGTATCTCTAGTTAGACAAGGAAATATATACGTCTTATTATAGATAATATAAGGTGTTTAGAAGATTTTCTATAAAACTCAAATTACCTATTTTTATGAGTTTAATTAGATAAGAAAATATATAAAGAAAATAAATAATTTAGTATTTCTAATTAGACAAGTAAATGTATAAAAGGAAATATATACTTCCTAGTATAGATAAATAAATTGTTCAATAATCATATTCATTGACTTGTTGAATTTCATTACTAAAATAAGTATTAGTGAATTGTAATAAAAAAAATATAGTTTTGATTTTGATATTGTTTTAGGAGTTTGAAAATACACCTATCAATAATTAAATTCTTATTGAAAAGTTTAATTAGTAATTATTATTTTTTTATCCCTTTTACCTTGTGTCATTTTTATTTTCATTGATTATTTTAGAATTTTTGTTAAGTATGTTTTATAGAATAATTTTTTAATTTATTATTGTAAAGATTTTGTATATTGTCATCATTACGGATTAGTTTTACCTATTTATTATGAGTTTTTTTAATTAAAGGAATCTATTTAGACAAGAAAATATATAAAGAACATAAATAATTTAGTCTCTTTAATTAGACAAGAAAATATATAAAAAGAAAAATATACTTCTTAGTATAAAAAATAAAAAAATAAAAAAATTCAAATGACTATATTTAGTGACTTGTAAATATTATTCATTACTAAATTAAGTATTAGTGAATTGTAATAATAAAAAAATAGTCTTGATTTTAATATTGTTGTAAAAATTTGAAAATACACCTATCAATTATTAGATTCTTATTAAAAAGTTTAATTAATAATAATTATTTTTATCTCTTTTACCATGTGTCAATTTTATGTTAATTGATTATTTCAGAGTTTTGTTAATTATATTTTATAATTTTTTTAATTTATTATTGTCAAGATTGTGTAAATTGTCATCAATATTTAATTTTGAAATTTGTTTATCTTAATTAATATATTAGTGTGATTATTTTAATTACTATTTGGAAAAATAGATATTTAATAATTTTATTAAATAATAATTTTAAATTAGATTTTACTTACGTGCAAAACACGTACACTAATATATATACAGAGATAGAGAGAGTACTAATACGTTTTAACTAAATTTACAAAATAATAAACACTTCTATTATTAAGTTTGAATTTTTAAAGGTAAGATCAAAAAGTTCAAAAGAGTCATAAATAATTTATTTTACAAATTATCTTTAATTATCACAAATAACTAAATAAGCAATAATAAATAAAAATTTTGGAAGGGTCAACTTTAATTTTTTTATAAAAAATTACCATTAATAATTACTGTTAATAGAATTCTGAAAAATAAAAAATTACCATTAATAATTACTGTTAATAGAATTCTGAAAAACATATTTGTAATATTCTATACAAAATTACCATTAATAACTATACATTATTATTTCTAGTAATAATTTTTTTTTTTTTAAAGTAGGCCCCCCTAGCCCCTGGTCCGCCCGTCGGCGCGTCCCTGGCACTGATGTATTAGGGTTTATTTGTAAGCCCTTGTGATATTCGTCCTGGCACTTCCATGATTATTCTTTGCTAATAAGTATCCGGATGTTTGTTGTGGCCTTCCTTTCGAATTCTCCTATACGATCGAGAAAATTCGTAAGGTAGATAAGTTTAGGGTTTTCATTCTGTTCCTCTCTCTCCTTATAGACGGTACGTCTGTATTCTCACCCTCAATTATTGTCTAATTGTTCTATTTATGAATATGAGCAGAAGTTTCATATTTAGGTCAACATGCGCGCACTCAAACTGTTTTGTATTTGTTCTTTCATTTTAGATTATAATATGATACAAATTGTCTTACAGTTGCAAAATAAATTACTGATAAAATGATATTTACATATATGCGATTCTTCACTAACTTAGAAATAATGATTAGTATCTCAATGAGTTGTAGTGTGAAATTGACGTGTCTTTGTTTTCCTTAGCGAGGTTATCAATCGAGATTCCAGAAGTTTGTATTTGCCCTCTTAATTAGAGGATTCGATGTGTATTGCATGTGTTATGTGTGTGCATTTGTATATAGGCATGTATCATATTGGAATTGGATTGATTCCTTCATTTAGTAGATTAGGATTTTGATGCAAATTGTCTTTTAAAAGCAGTAGAACTATTTGACATTGATATTGATATGTGGAGGCTTCTTCAGCTACCCAAATAGGATCATTGAATGTTACTCTTTGCTGATAAAATCAGACTTATGTATTGTCTTTTGAGCTTTTAATATCTGATCGTAATTATCTGTTCGTGACATAACAAGTGTTTGAGATACAGAAACAGTGATGTTAGAAGCTGTAATCCCACTCAAGGAGAAGCAGGAGTTAGAGATGAAATATGGTCTTCACATTCACATGGATTCTCTTAAGCTTGCTTGTGATATCGTTGTGAGATATTCTGACGGTTAGTTGGTTCCCATTTATGACTTCTTCTTATTTTGTTGTTGTTGGTAACATTTTCCCCCCTTTTTCCCCTTATAAAACGTTTCGTGTTTAGCTTTCTTGTCCAACGAAGGAGAAGCAGATGGCTGCAGCCCAAAGATGATGGTGCTTTTGCAAAAGAAGGCAGTTGAGCTGCTGCATGGAGCCTGTGCTAGAATGAGACATGATCTTGATGTAAATGTGGAAGAGAATAGCCTGGATGAAGCTGAATACTTGCTTTATCGCACTCTTCTTGAGTTAAATGAAACCAAAAGAGAGAAGGATTTGGGCAGTCAAAGTTGGATTCCTCGTGTAAGTGCTTGATCCTTTTTCTTTTGAGTTTTTCTCCTATTCTTTACAACTTGTGCTGCTTATAGGTGAATCATTAATTTATGTGGTTTGGGTGTTCTCCAGGTAGAAGAAGAATATGTTGGTTTAAGGGATTTCTGGGATGGATTTGCGGAAAAGTGGAAGCCACTACTGATGCAGCAGGGATCAGCAGAAAGAGCTCGAGAAATTTTCATCATGGAACAGTTGCGCTCAGGGCTAGTCTCATATTTGCAGGAGGTGGAACCTGCTAAGAAGAGCTTTCAATTTTCTTCGGTGGTTCTAGACCTAAGTGACGATTTATCTTCCCTTTTTAATTCAACTTGCAAATGCTTCAAGGAAAATGCAACTGTTAAACCATTTACTGTTGCAGAGGTGACTATATTTATCTATCATTTTCTTATTATTAGGCCATCACAGGCTATCGAAGGCTTTGTTTTCCCTGGCTTCTACATTTTCTGACATATTTTAGCAGTGAAACTGATGATTTTTCTGAGGTTTGTGTGTAGGTGGCGAGCCACATGATCAGCGCCCCTGCTTCATGGCTCCTTAATTCTTCAAAGCCGCCACTGCAGGGTATTGGACAGAGATTGCGGAAGAGGTTTGGTGGACAAGATCATGTTATTGATGCAGTCACCAATGCCTTGTTGAGGTGTCAGCCTCATGAAAGCGGGCATCGCCCTATTGGATCATTTCTCTTCTTCGGTGGTGCTCCTTATGGCAGGCCAGAGTTTATTGAAGCTCTCACCGAAGAGCTGTTTGACAGCAAGGACCTGCTGGTAAGGTTTGAGATGTCAGATTACAGCGATTCACACTGTTCTCAGTGTGATTCATTCTTCCTCGATGTTCGCACCAGGTAACTAAAATTTAAGTCTGTTATATATATATATATATATATATATATTTATATATACATATATATATTATCGTGCTTACTTTCTTTTTCCTTGCTAAGTATATTACTCTAATTCTGAATATTTTCTCAGAGACTACAACCATGGAGAACATGGTATCAGGGGAGAACTTATAAAGGTTGTTAAGAGCAGGCCTTTTGGTGTTCTTTTATTTGAAAATGTTGAGAAGGCCAATAATAATGCTATTGAAATTCTGCTTGACATATTGAGGCATGGTAGACTGACAGACAGTCAGGGTGGCAAAGTTGACTTCACCAATATGTTGATTATCATGACTTCAGATGTTGTAATGAATAATGTCCCCTTATGGTGTTGCGATTGTTTAGAGAAGGATCAATATCGCCCCATGAAGAGCAGGTTGAAACATTATTTTGACTCTTCAAGCGACCATATGTGTGGGTTCCTCCTTGCCTATATAGAGGTAAGGCATTGTTGGAAGAAAGGGATTTATTAGTTCTGTTTCTGTGGCATATCTAGCAGTCTGGATCACCTCTCTCTCGCTGTCTCTCTTCTCCCTCTCTTTATGTATTGTGTTTTATTTTTGATTTTTATGTTCTGATTGTCTTTGCACTGCATGTTTCCCAGGCAGATAAGTGGTTTAAAAGTGAGTTGCTTGAAGAATTAGATGATGTTGTTGTTTTTAATGGACTTTCTGAGCTACAGTGTCATGTTATTGCTAGGCTGCAGTTGAGGGAATTAACCGAGGCGATGAGACCAAGAAGGCTCATTGTGTACCCATCTGAAGCTGCATTGCGAAGTATTACCGGGAAGTCCTTTTGCCGTACAGTGAGTGGTTTTATTTTTATGCTTCTTATGAATGATGATCTTAACGATTAATGGTAAGATATAGTGTGCATGTTATTGAGCCACGACATGCTCTGTCTAGCTAGTGAATCTTGCCAGGTAGCCTGCATTGGCTCTTTAAATTAGTGGGCTTCGGCTAGCTAATCGTGAGAGTTCGGGCTTATCTTGGATCCATTGTGTGACTGGCTCTAAAGTCATTGCTACATTGGATAAATGTACTTGGCATATGGTTTTAAATTTACCTTATTATTTTTGGGTTCTTCCCCGAGGTAGGATGACCTTTTGGCAATGTGTAGCAAAAATGTTCTAGGTGCACAATTGAAAACCATACACTATGATGTGAATGGCAGATAACTGAATACACACCTTGTTGTATGATGGTGTACTTGTAAGCCTTTTATTGCATAAGTTCCAACTCTGCCCCGGTATTCATTGCGTTCAATTTGTTACAGGGTGCTCTTCCACGTCATAGTAATATAATAGATTTTTTTGCCATTGTCATTGCTTGCATTCTTGAAATTGTAATCACCTCCATCATCACAAAAGAAAGTCTGGATATAATCATTCTAAACCATATTTAGAAAATTTATAGCTGTATAAGTGAATCCATGTTTTTTTTTTTTTTTTTCCTTTCTATTCAATTTTCTATCTAGAAGTTTAGAGGGTGCACTATCATTATGGGCATTCCAATAAGGTGATGAATATTTATCTGTTTATATACTGCTGAACTACTAGCAAGATGACAAACTAGGAAAGTGACCACTAGGACTGGGAAGCAAGAATAAGTAGATAAACTTAGATCTTCTAGCTACTAAGTGTTCTAATGGCTGTGGTTTTGCTTTGTAATTATCTTTCTGTTTACAAATGTCCACCTCTATTTTGCCACTTTCATCTCCCCTTTATCCTTTCTCTCTCTTTTATAAATTATTATTCTTATAGGAGAATCGGCTAACTTGTTGCAGTTAAGGGTATGGTCCCTTTTTTTTTTTACTAAGTTGAACCTCACACACCCACTTTGTGCCTAAGGGTATAGTCAACTATTTCATTGTAAATAAACTTTGCCATGGTGAAACATTACCCAAATTTTTATCAGTTGTAATTTTGTTCAGTCTATCATGATTTATGAATAATTCTAATGCTGGCCCTTGGTTGAGTCTGAGGGCAACCACTTTCTGCGTATACGGTAAAAGGTTAGGCTTATACCTAGTTCATTTTTCCTAGCAGAGGCAACAAATAAGTTATGACCAAATGATCTTCTATGCATTGTTCTTGTACTTTCTAAATATTTCTGTATTTTATCAGGTTTGTTGAAAAAGCAATTAGTTGTAAGAAATCTAATTTGCTTCACCTTATCTTTTCAATTAATCTATGGGTTGACTGTAAAAAACACCCTTGAATTTTCACTTCTTTATATATTAGCCCTGTGCTAATGATTTTGCACGAAACCCTCTTGAACTTTACAAAAACCTCCAGGGGGCACCTGTTGAAAGTTTGGGGGGTTCTTTATTCTAAAATATCACTTACCTCCCTCGAGGTTAGACCTAATTACACATAATACCCTTAACGTTTCAAATATTACAGTAACCTTCCTTCAATGTGATCTCCAGCAGGTTGTCTTAGAAATCTATGTGAATGTACTAATATACCCTCCATTATATATTAATAATGATGACAAGTTATCAAATGACACTTATACCCTAATAGCTCTCTTTCCTGGAGCCCTAAATTTGCACGCGTTAATGGAGTTCTCTAACATTTTCATTGTTGCTTGGGGCTTGCTGGTTAAAACTGGGATTCGCCGACATCGTAAATCATTTCTTTCTCTCTCTCCACCGCGGCAACTGATTTTTGGTTTTCTAAAGCAAACGCAAATATGAATGTCTGTGTGTGTGTATATATATTTATATATATGTACGATTCAATCCCAAGCACCCAAATAGACCTAGTTCCTGTTGTTCCGGTGACAACCCAAGCTTACCCTCTCAAACGGCTCCTTTGCTTCTCTTCATCACCAGTGTACACCACCTTGAGAATCACCTTCCTCTTGGTACTTGGAGATTGCGGCAATTCCGGTGGATGTCATCTGAGACCTTGCTCAACAGAACAGTTCCAACCAGAAAGAAGCTTTGAGCCCCAAGCACCTAAAAGGAGAGAGCACTTAGAAGAAGACCATTACTATGCTCCAATATGAAGACCCAACCGGTGAGAGCGCAAACGGTTCTGTGAACTGACCACCATTGCCAGCGAGCTCTGATCCGAAGCTGCAGAGCAAGCATATCATCGACCTAGAAACCAAGATCTTCGGTGACTAAACCCAGAGGAACAAAGAAGAAAACCGGCAAGTTCCAGTTCAGTCTGGCGTAGCTCAACGCTACGGAGAGCTTTAGAGACAACCAGGTACAACGAGCTTCAAGATTCTGGTGGACGTCATCTGAGACAGTGGACGTCTGTCCAAGCTCACTTAAACTTCATGAACATGGCTTGCCGTCGGGTCTATCGAACTGGATCGAAACTCACCAGAGTTGGGTCTGTTGGAAGTACCATCAAGAAGTTTGTCTGACTGTACTGCTTGCCGGAGTTAGGTCTGTTGGATTCGATGGAACCTGCTGCAACTCAGCCACCATCTTCACCATTGCTGCCACAACACAGCTACCATCATCACCACCACCGCGACGACCATAGCCACCATCACCACTGCCATCGCGACACAGACGCCGATCATACGCCCACATCGGTGGTAACACTCCCAAAACCAAATGCGTTGTTTCTAAGAAATTGATGTATTATAAGTTCATAAAGATTTCCAGAATCGAGGGTGTAGATGATGATGATGACGACAACTACGACAATGTGGACAACAAATTGGGTTTCAGGGTTTTGAAGGTGGGTTCCAAGATTCGAGCTAGGGTTTCGGTATGAGAGGACTTAGACGGTGGTGACAACACGCCGAGTAGATTTAGTAAAGGGTGTAATTTTTTTCCATTTTCAATTAAAAAATAAAGGGTGTAAATGTATTTGTAATCTTTTAATGGGCAAAAGTGGTATTTCATCCTTAAAAAGGATGACATCAGAAAAAAGGGTTAGTTGACCAACGTTAACTACAAGGAGGAGCAAAGTGTCATACCTGAGCTAACCTTGAGGGAGGTTACTCTAATATTTGAAACATTAGGGATATTATGTGTAATTAGGCCTAACCTTAAGGGAGGTAAATGATATCACCCCTATTCTACAGGGGGCAATTTGTAACAGTGTGAAAGTTCAGCAATCTTTTTGCAGTTTACCCTTATTATTATTCCCAATTTTCTTGGCCTGCACAATTTTGACTACTAAAAATTGCCCTACCCTGTAATGCAATGCAAAGTCAATCCTATAACCATTATGACTCTTTAGGTTGTCTTTTATAAAAAATATCATTCAACATTTTTAATTGCATTTGTATCATTTGTATGCACAGGCACGCATAGAGGGTATGAAGATATGGCTAAAGGAGAATGTGGTCCCAGTGGTGTTTAATATGCTTTCAGAGAACAAGACAAGTGATGGTATTACCACCATTTACATTGATACCCTAGTGGGAACAGATGAACTATCTTACAGAATGGAGAAAAGTCCAGTGAATTTTTTAGTTTTCACGCACTTCAAAGAATCTTTGAATGAGTTGAGAATGATGTACAAGAAAGAGAAAGAACACGCCTGCAAGATATACACCTTAAAAAGAAAGTATTTTGAATTGATAACTATGGATTCTGATGAAGATTTGGTTCATTTCATGGAGGTGGTTCAAGATTTAGTTGATACAGTGGATGATATTGTAGCAAATACAGATGTGAACTTTATGTGCAAAAACTATAGACTGGTATTTCAATTTCTACTCTTCATTCATCCCTCTTGTTCTATTATAGTTTTGTCAAGTAAAAGATCTATAATTATGGATTTAATTGATTTTTAATATCATTTATCTTTCTCATTTCCTTCTATAGACATCAGTGAGCTTCTTAAATCAGGAGGCAGAGGTTAGGCAGCGGGAGTTGGCGTCTGAGAGGGCTAGGAATGAGGTGGATGGTCTTCAAAAAGTACTGGACATTAATCTTGATAGGATCTATCAAGCAGTTGATGTTGTGGCAGAGGCTTTATTGAGGACCATTCATGGACCTCATGATACGCTCCATTATCCTGCCAAGTCATTTCTAATATTAGGTCTTACAAGTGCTGGTAAGGCAGATCTTCTAAAAGGTCTTGTGGAGCTTTGTGCAGCCGATGGGGGGACATCTGTGATTCTAATCAATGCAGAAGAACACCAAGAATGTGACTCATTTTTGCAGCTTATGGATGGAGCACTCTGGTATTTGTGATGCATGATGCTAATATGTGTTTCTCAATAAGTTTTTAACCATGTATTTGTTGGTGTTGTCATCTTTGATGTATGATACCCATTGCTTTGTGACATTCAGGCATGATAGACATGAGCAACATGGTTTGGGGCTTCAAGAAGCTGTTAGGGTGAAACAAGGATGCATTATCCTTATTGATCAGATTGAAAAGGCTCACATGTCTGTATTCAGCACTATACTTTCAATGCTCGACCACAGTACTGTGGAAGACAGTCGAGGAAGAAAGATTGATTTCAGGGACACTGTTGTAGCCATTATTTCAGATTTGGGAAACAGACCAATTTTATCACGCCTTGCAGGACATGCTTATGGTGGTAGTGTTCCGAGAGGCCGCATGAAACAGGTGACTAATTGGAAATTGCAATTTAAATCGTTTCTGCTATTTTGTCTTTGCATTTCTTTAATGATCTGATGCGTAAGTTGGTTAAACTCCTTTAGGTTCTATTAGTGCCTTTAATTATTTTGTTTCTCTATTTGAGAGCTTCTGTAGAGTTCCCTTTCTGTTTATAATACTTACCCTTGCACTGAAAAGAAGGAAGATATTATCTTTTCTCCTTTTTAATTTTATTTTATTTGATCATGGTTTATTTTAAGTTACTCTTCGGTCAGTAGTGGATTGGTTGTGGTTATTTTACAGGATGGAAGGCCTTTCAGAACTGAGTTGCTGAATCGGGTAGATGAGACTCTCATATTTAATCCCTTTGCTGAGAAGCAACTTAAAGAATTTTCGAGGTTATCAATGAGGGTTGGGCGTCATCTGGAAGGAGAACACTACGCATTTTTCGAAGCATTTTTTTGTCTGTTTAACTACACTAGTCGTTCAGTAAGTATTCGTGTGAATAACCATTTTCTGGGTTGGACATCTTATATTATTTCATGGATTCTGAAATTTTCTACTCTTGCCATTATAGTTTTCTAAGAAGTGGCCATGGACCGCACGGTTTGCAGTGTCCCATCTCTCAAAGGAGCTCATTGGTAAACGCAGCAATATTGTTTTGGTTAACAGAGGCAGGCTTTTATCCTCTTTCAGTTATGATCAAGTCTGCGTGCAACCATCCACAAATTCAAAGGAGCTTATTGGTAATTGCAGCAGTTTTGTTTTCGTTAGCAGATGTGGGCTTTTATCCTCTTTCGGCGATGATCAAGTCTGCATGGAACCATCTACAAATTCAAAGGAGCTCATGGGTAAATGCAGCAGTGTTGTTTTGGTTTAACAGAAGCCATCTTTCATCCTCTTTTGTTGATGGTCAAATCTGCACGCTACATGTTACAAATTTGCGTTGTCAAGTCATATAAAACTGATACCCACGTAGAAGGTGGTCTGTATATAATATTAGTTCTACTATCTGCAGTGAATGTTTGAAATATACCTCTGTCAATGTTCTCAACAGTAAGAGGGAAGAGAGAAAATCATTATGATGCAATGCTTTATTGTCATGTCTCTAATGAATGAGTTTAATATTCAATAATTTTACCACAGGTTGGATGTCAGCGATGTCTATACTATGTACCACATAAACTTAGAAGTATGTGGTACTGAGAAAAAGCTACTCTTTGGTGGTTTTATTTAGTTCGAAGTGTTAGTTTAGTGGATTTCTTTTCAAGCAATTCGTGTCACTAAAGTTTGATAAACCGCCATCATGATCTTATAAAACCCAACTAACCATTGTCAGTATAACAATCTTTTTCTCTGTACCATATGTGATTGAAGAAAATCCACGGTGGTTGGATAGTTTGTGCGACTTGTGATATATATAGAGAAAGAAATAGAGAGTGAGATGTTGATGGGTTATATGTGGCTAGGTTATGAAAATATCATGTCATCTTTTTGTTTAGATTTCCATTGTGTTTGGATTTAGTTGTAGCGACGAGACATGTTTATGACTATCTTGGAAATGTTATTTGCAACATTTTTGTGTATCATATGGAGGTTATTTTTAAATGTCAAGTACTTAAGAGAACCATTTGCATAAAAAACCACGAGAAAAACCCAATGGGATATCACAAATCCCTCCGGTTACCTAAAAAAAAAAAAAATTATATCACAACAAAGTTTTTTACTCCTTATAAAATAAATAATCAAATAATGACAAAATTAGAAACAAGCTTGGATTGTTTGATATACCATGCCCAACCGAAACCCCAATAGAATCAAGATCTAGTTTATTTATTTTTCCCGTTTCCCGTAATTCAAGTCTAACCTAAAGGCAAATAATTTCAGAAGAATTGGATCTTGCACCCCTCATTTGTGTTCCTCTTTTTCTCTCCTCTCACTCTCTATACACATATAGAGAGAGAAGATTAAAGATTAGATTTTTAAATTGGGTTGTTAGTGGCACACGGGGTTCAATAAGAATAATGATTAGATGATCCAAGGCAACTTGTGAAAAATAATTTATAAAAATTTTTTTGGTAAATTATTTTTAGTCATTTGGGATAAAATAATTTCCTAACTCTGGGGTTTCCCAAACACAAAAAAATAAAAAAATGACTCAAAAAATATTTTACGGTGAGATTTAAGTTGGTCATACATAATTGCACCCCTAAGTGGAATTTAATTGTATATGAATCTTGTTCATTGTGATACCATGTCTTATTTTGTCTTTTAAAAAAATATATAGATATTTTATTGTTTAGATTTTTTTTTTTTCAAAGATACTTATTGAAGATACAAGATTTCGTTTCTTCTCTCTCTCTCCCTCTCTCTCTCTCTCTCTAGCATTCTGCCCTCACTTTCCACCTGTCATGGTCTATTTATAGGCCATCACCTTTATTGCTGTTAATCAATTACATTGAGCCTATATTCGAAAGCTCTCTTCCTTCTGGGCTTGGTCTTCCAATGGGCTTGACCTTCCTCGGTGGATCCCCCAGGTTCGGCCCATTCCAGGGCGCTTTGGCATTGATCCTACTTCAATCATTCGACCCGATCTCGTTCCTGCGAACCATATCCGGCCCATGCCACTTGCCGCATCCTCAACTGCCCCCATATACCCCTTATTGATTAGGGGGTAATTATTAGAGGCTGCTAATGATGACCTGACGGCTCGAGGAGATCGTGTGGGAGAATGGACGGTTAGATCTAGGGGTCGGCGCTTCGAGATTCAAAAAGACAACCCATCGCTTTCCTGACTCCTCGGCCCTTGGGCTCATCTCGTCTTTATAAGCTCCATTGATTCTCCATCGATCCTCTTTACCGTCTCCATCTCACCTTTTGCTGTTTGAATCCTCTTCGGCGATCTCTTGTGAAAGATCTTCCGTCCAGTGGCTTTGCAATACTTTCTGCCGTTTGCACTCTTTAAGGTTAGTTTCATTTGCATTTTTCTTTTGGAAGACTTCTTTCTCCTCCTCGGAATCCTCATCCACTCTCACCATGACAGTAGATCTAGACGTTCTTCGCATGAAACTTCACCTTCCTGACGATGTAGAAATTAGAAACTGCCCCCGAGAAGTGAATATTAGAACCGGTGCTGGCCTTCTTCCCGACGAGGCCCTGTTTTCACTCCTCCATCTCAATCTCCTTAGATTTCCTTTACATCCTTTCTTTTGCTATGTTTTTAACAAGCTAAATCTTTCCCCTTTACAAGAAAACTCCAATTTCCTTAGGATTTTATCTGTTATGTTAATCCTAATTCGTGACAGAGGTCTGGATCTGGACCTCGTAGATCTTCTCCTCTGTTACAAGGTCAGCAAGATCAGAACTGACGAACCATTTTACCACTTTTTCCCCATTGAGAAGAGGTCCATCTGCACGGATAAGATCAAATCCGAGAAGGGTTGGAGGAAAAACATTATTGGGGTTAGGGGAGCCCGGTTCTCTCCAGCTGTGGAGGATTTCCCTATCCCGAGCGCTTTCGGAGAGTGCTCTGTCTCTTTTTACAAGAAATATAAAAACCATAAGAGTGACTGTCTTTGCGAGATTTGCATTCCTCGTTTTTGTATTTTCTTGTGCCATTCCTTAGGCATTCCTTGTGATGACTTGAGCTACAGTGTGTGCAGGGATAGGGATAATTACTTGAAGCGGTACGTTCTGACCAACATTCCCTCTTGTTCGGACCTTCTCACCTCAGATAATCTCCTCGATATCTCAGTCCTCGGCAAGACAATGAGCCAACTCCAGATCCCTTCCTTCGGCAGGAAGAAAACTGCCCCCAGGCTTGCTATCACCCCTGCATCAAATTCCTCACCGGCTTCAGCATCTTCCTCCGCTACCCTTTCTGATACCACTCCTTCCACCGATCCATCCACGACGGCTGCTGACCCGGTCGGTAACATGGCGACTGCCAGTCCGAACGTTACCTCCTCTGTCAACAATCCTCCTGGTTCTACTATTGCTTCCGCATGGGAAAAGGCCAGAGGAAAAAGGCATCAACCTGACAGTGCCCTCAGCATGGATGACGTTCCCTTGTCTCAGAGGGTTAAGCCCTCTGGGCCGAATGTGATATCCCTGGCGAGACCTCATCAAGCTAGGCCCCCCACCCCTTCTGGGCATGCCTCCGCTTCAAGAACGGCGCCATGGAGCCCTCGCTTCATTCGAACAGACGGATCATCTGTGAAACCGACCGAGACCATGTTCAAGGATGGTCAGACCGCAATGGCTTACTACAGGAGTATGTGGACTCCCAAGGACATCGAGGTAGCCAAAGGTCTGTCTCAGAGGGAGGTGTTCAGCCGATTTCCCTTGTCTGCCATGGAGGTAACTTCTACCCCTTAGTCAATAAATCTTTACATACTCTTGACACTTACTTTCTTCTAACCATCTGCTCGGCTTAACCAGTTGTCCTGTATATCTCTACAGACCTTGTACGGGATGATGGCTATGCAGAAACAAGTTGAGCATGTGAATGCCAAGGTCCGCGTGCTTTCTGACAGCCTTAATGCAGCGAATAAGGAGAACGATGATTTAGCTGCTCCGAAGACCGGGTTGATAGTTCAGCTTGGTAAAATTGAAAAAGAGAGGGATTCGCTGAGGAGGGAGACTGATTCTCTTCAAGATGAGAGGAATGCTCTGCAGCTTGAAAAGAGCGTCTGGCAGACCGAGCGGGAATCCCTTAAGGCCGAGAAGGAAGAACTGCTACACCTTCTGAGTGATGAGCAATCCGCTCGGATGGCCTTTGAGAAAAGGGCCTTCGACGAGCGCAACGCTTTGCTTGATACCATCAGCAGGGTAAATGGTGGTATGCTAGCTCTGCATGCTCGGTTCTCTAGAGTTGGAGCCCTCAGATATGCTCAGGGGTTCCGAGAGGGATACGCCGATCGTGTCCCGGATGAGGGTCAAACTGGCTCTACCCCTGATGATGTTGATAAAGACCTGGATATTGACCCTCCTGGTGTTTATACCGATCCAGACTCCACCGCTGCCGAGGGCATATTTGATGAATGTCAGGAGATTGCGTCTTCTCGGATCACTCCTACTCTTCCTGCTGCTCTGACTTTGGACATTCTTCCTCTGTCCACTTTGACTCCATCTGTTGTTACTGTTGAAGATAACCCTCAGCAGAATGATTCTTCCAACGTTATTGAGGGTAGGACTCAACAGAACGATTCTGTCATTCACCTCGACTCCCCACCTCGTGAGGACGGCGACACCACCAATAATAAGGAGGTAGCCCAACATCATCAAGAGGCCAACGAGGCAAACGCCTCTTAGTTAGAACTTTTTTTTTTTTTTTTTTTAAATGTACTGACTTTGGTATATTCGCCATCTTTACACCTCATCTTTTGTAACCTTCTGAACCTTATTAATGAGATGGCCAACTTCTAATCAAACTTTTTATGTAAACTTCCTTTTTTTTTTTTTTTTTTTCTTTTTTTCTTTTACAAGTGTTTGGCGTTCGGCTCATTGTGCCAACTGCCACTTACTTTGCTCAGGCGCCTGGCGTTCGGCTAGAATGCCACTTGCCACTTGGCCCTCTAATTTTTCTTTAGCAAGTGTTTGGCGTTCGGCTCATAGTGCCAGCTGCCACTTACTTTGCTTAGGTGCCTGGCGCTCGGCTGGAATGCCACTTGCCACTTGGCCCACTATTTTTCTTAGCAAGTGTTTGGTGTTCAGCTCATAGTGCCAGCTGCCACTTACTTTGCTTAGGTGCCTGGCGCTCGGCTGGAATGCCACTTGCCACTTGGCCCACTATTTTTCTTAGCAAGTGTTTGGCGTTCGGCTTATAGTGCCAGCTGCCACTTACTTTGCTTAGGTGCCTGGCGCTAGGCTGGAATGCCACTTGCCACTTGGCCCTCTATTTTTCTTAGCAAGTGTTTGGCGTTCGGCTCATAGTGTCAGCTGCCACTTACTTTGCTTAGATGCCTAGCGCTCGGCTGGAATGCCACTTGCCACTTGGCCCACTATTTTTCTTAGCAAGTGTTTGGCGTTCGGCTCATAGTGCCAGCTGCCACTTACTTTGCTTAGGTGCCTGGCGCTCGGCTGGAATGCCACTTGCCACTTGGCCCTCTATTTTTCTTAGCAAGTGTTTGGCGTTCGGCTCA